TTTGTAACCTACGTATCTTGCGTACGCAACCGTAGCGACATCGTGCGTGTCCTGGCGTGTCCTGGCGTGTCCCTCGCCTGCCCTCATCCTTCGTTGCCTTCGCGCTCGAAGGTATTCCACCGTTGATCGTAGCGCATGGAGAGAACGATGTCGGAGCAGACGGCTTCGCAGACGCAAACGGAAACCATCTCCGAGGCAGACATCACCGACTCCGGATCGCAGGTAATTCGTCAAATATTCGTGGGATCCTAAATGTCGCGAGGCGATTCACTAATGCCTATTTCCACCAACGTAGATTAATTTTAATCTCGGTTCAACTTACTCTTCGTCTTTTTCTAATTCTAAAGATTCGAAAAAAATAAAGAATTAGTTGAATCGAGATTAAAGTTAATCTACGTTGGTAGAAATTGGCATAAATGTTATTGGCCTAGACACGATACGAATTGTTTATTGGGATTAAAATAAGCACCAACTACTCATTTTATCATATCTTGACAGTTCGACGTTCGACTCGCGTCGTCGAAAAAAATCTCTTTGGATCGCGGAAAACCTGCGTCATTTCGCGTCATGCGTCATATCAGTTGATATGACGAGGTTATGCGCTCGATTACTTACGTGCTGCAACTGCTATCTTAGGGTTTAAAGACTTTTATCTCTCTTGTCTTTTTAAAATCTTCATTCTGTCAAAGTTTTTCCAACAAACGATACTTAGTACAATATCTTTTTAATAATATTAAAAAAAACGTAAGTGTAAGTGCACTGTCGTAACTGGGTGTATTTAAATTGCGCTTTCATTACCCTGTTTTTATTTTTAATATATAAGTGACATCTCTTTCTTCAAAAAACACTAATTACTTTTATACATATAGTACGTCGCGTGCATGTATCGCAATTCCAATTTAACAAAGTTCTTTCTTAAGAAATAGAAACATTCTAGCTTGAAATGAAGTACAATTCACAGTCATTATTCTTGGTCAGTGCATCAACTTCTGAATGATGTTTAGTCAAAAAGATAATGTCTCTGTTTAGTTTACATTTTAAAATATATTACATTGCACCCCAGTACGTAACAGTGAACCTTAAAAGTTTTTTAAGAATTTCGATATGATGCGTAAAATACTTGCAATTAGCGTGCGAAACCGCGCGGCGAGCAACAAGTATTTCCCAAGTGAAGGCAAATTGATAAGTTGCGAACGTGAATTTTGCACGGCCGTTGAAGAGAATCGTTCGCCGTTGAACGGAGTACGAGTTCTGGATCTGACGCGAATCGTGGCCGGTCCTTATTGCACAATGATCCTGGGTGATCTCGGTGCGGAGATCTTGAAGATCGAACGACCCGACGGCGGGGACGAGGCACGCAAGTGGGGCCCGCCGTTCTTCCAAGGGACACAGGAATCGACTTATTTCATGAGCGTCAACAGAAATAAGAAGAGCGTTTGCATCGATTTGAAGAAGGGGAAAGATATTATTTACGAGCTGGCGCAGACAAGCGACGTCCTGATAGAAAATTATGTGCCCGGAAAGCTGAGCAGCATGGGCTTAGGATACGAAGATATGGCTAAGATAACGCCACGTCTTATCTATTGCTCGTTGACTGGTTACGGATCTAGTGGACCATATGCAAATAGACCCGGTTACGATGTCGTTGCTGCTTCCTTAGGTGGTCTTTTGCACATTACCGGGCCGAAAGATGGACCACCGTGCAAGGTTGGTGTAGCAATGACTGATATGGCAACAGGTCTGTACGCTCATGGAGCAATTATGGCATCTTTACTACAAAGATCGAAAACCAACAAAGGCCAGTGGATACAATGTAATCTCTTGTCGACTCAAATCGCAAGCCTGATAAACATTGCTTCAAATTACTTAAATGGAAATAAGGAGGCGACAAGATGGGGATCTGAACACGAAAGCATAGTTCCTTACGAAGCCTTTTCTACGAAAGATGGATACATGACGATTGGAGTAGGGAGCAATGAACAATTTCTGGAATTAGTCACAAAATTACAAATGTCAGAACTTGCTGCTAATGACAAGTTCAAGAATAATATAGCTAGAGTTAAAAACAGAACGGAGCTACTTGAAATCCTTAGAGATGTAATTAAAAAGAAAACAAATCAGGAATGGTCTGCAGAATTTACAGGGGCTTCGTTTCCTTTTGGAGCAATAAATACTATGAGAGAGGTGAATTAACCAATCTAATCTGATCTCAATGCATTATCTCTTTTGCAATTTAATAAATTTCATTTTCTTCAACTGTAATTTCCAGGTATTCGATGACCCCCATGTGAAACACATCAAATTGGTTCAAGAAGTAAATCATCCAGTTACAGGCAAAGTGAAACTTGTTGGACCACCTGTGACATATAGCTACGCTACTAATATAATACGATCAGCGCCACCAACATTGGGACAGCATACATCGGAAGTTTTAAAGAATATATTAAACTATTCTGATGATAAAATAGAAAATTTGATAAAACAAAAAATTGTACGATAATTAATGAGCATGAGCCCCTTTCTATCTGTACGTTTTAATGCAAAAATCGAATTATTGTTCTATATTTTTATATTAATATTTTTATATTAATGAATTTCAATTTTAATAAAATCTTTAGAACATAGTTTGGTGGCAATAAGTTCATGTATAAGATTATTGTATAAACATGTATTTTATCGTATTATGTGTATGTTATATATTTTAAGATTTAAAATTTCATCAAATACAATAAAAATGCCAACACGCCAACACTGGATGGACATGTGTGTACAAAAAATTTATTGTCTAGAGATATAAATGAAAAAAATATAAACGTTTCGACTCTCCGTTTTGGGTTCTCTTCAGTACTAATTATTAAACAATCATTATAATGTCGAGTTAATTACGAAATTATATTAGTAAAAATATATATATTTGGTAAACTGCTGTGTCACAAATGGAGTGAGGTATATAGTCAAATGATAATTCATCATAAAATCATCATAAAATTAGGTATCCAGAAATAAAATGGTAGATCGTCAAATCTATGCGACAAAAAAATCGCAGTCGAGGCTTGAATTAATGTGGACAAATGTAATAAATATGATGAAGTATCAAGCTAAAATTAATCGACTGGTGTATGACTGATATCGTAATAACTTTTGTAGTTAATTCAATACATATAATTATTGTTTAACGATTGTTGATTGTTGAAGAGAATGAAAGTTTGAAATGTTTACATTTTTTTCATTTATACTTTTAAAGAATAAATTTTTTCCATACAGTATGGACTCGTTAGCATTTTTATGATATTGATTTAATTCATTAAAACATTTTAATTTTTAGTTAAAACTTCACAATATATTATAAAATTATTATTTTGTAAGTTATAATGAAAATAAAATTTTTTAAATTTTATTTGCTTTTTATTTTTACATTAACACAATTTTTTATTATATATATTGTAACAAATATCTTCCTTATAGTCATTGTTTATAATTTAAAATCTGATTAATAATACACTTTATATTATTGAAAATTTCACTTTTTTTTCAGGATGTACCTACTGTACGATTACGTCTACGAATGCCGAAATCAAATAAAAAGGTCCAATGGACTCAGGGGACCGTAGACAATGAAAATTTAAATAAAAAGAAATCAAAATGTAAGTATTTATTATTTCTCTGTAATCTTTTAGATTTCATTTATCAAAAAGAGTTATTTACATAATTTTTTTATAGGTTGTTGTATTTATGAGAAACCAAAAATTTTCGGTGAAAGTAGTTCTGAAGATAGTGATGATGAATGCGAACATTGTCATGGACATAAAGATGCTCATAAGAAAGTCTTACCTAAACCTGGTGATCCTGCACGAGAAGGAATGTCATCACATCCTGGTAAATTTTTCATAATAGATCAAATATACATTTGTATGTACTTGTACATTTGTACCTATTACTCTTATTGATTCTTATCTTATTCTTTTTACAGAACCGATTGCAACAGGTTCAACATAAGTGTTTTTATGCTTATATACCTATTGACAATTTTTCTCTAAATGGAAAATAAATTCCTTTATATTTCTCGAGACAGTATGTAATACAGAAACAGATGATATTAGGTAAGTCATTTTATATATATATATATATATAAAATATTATAATTATACAATATAGAAGAAGTCATGTTGCATTTTTTTAGGTACACAAACTCTAAATATGATTTTGCACTAGTATATGTACTTATATTACAGTGCTTTAATCGCGCAGAAGATTATAAATATTATTGAAATTGTTATACATGTCTTGCGAATAGTAAATTATTCAACATTCTTTGAAAAGTAATTTCATCATTCCTTATATGTTTACGTCCGATTAATATTATTTACTTTACATGTACTGTTTGTTATTTACTATTTACCTAATATAGAGATCTAGATTTTATGCGCTAGAAAAAAATATACATTATTTTGTGATTTATGATAATATTAATTCATATATTTATTATTAAATCAAGTTTGCAATTATATTCTGATATGAAGAAAAATTAAGAATATATGTCAAAATTTCATTTTTGCTTTTTTTTTTGAGATTTATTACATTTATAATTTTACAATGCAATTGCTCTACAAGCTCAAAAAATGAAATAATGTATTACAAATTACATTATTATACGCCATAATTATAAATAATTATGTCGTATTACATATGACAAAGAAAAGATACAAAATAGTGCACATTTACATTTATTCCTTGTTTCCTTTATTTAATATAAGCGTAGATAAATGAAATTTGTAAATATTTCAAATATACATATAAAATATACAGAATAGATTAAATAAGAAAATTTGAAATTTTAAGGTCATACTCTTAAAAAAAATTATAAAGTCATAAGAAAACTTAATATTCATTGCACACTTTCATTGAATTTCAATTTTTAATTTCGTTTAAAAATAAATTTTAAACTAATTTCATATATATATATATATATATAAACTTTATAGATTTTAAGCTGACATTAAAAAATATCTTGAAAAATTATTAATGTACATAGAATAGGAATAAGCAGATAGGATTTTTGATCATTAGGCAAATCACTGATCTAATATTAGTTTGCGAGTTCTGAAAATTTAAAAATAGTTCGATAATAATCTTTGAATGGATAATATAATTTTAAAATCTTTCGTAAGTTATTTTCTAATTTTGCATCATAACAGTCGTGTGTCAACAATATATTCTTATGATATTCATTCTTTTAACAACATTCTTAGTAATTTTTATTTTTTTCAAAATAGAAGTACTCGTCTAATGAGATTCTATATTATATTACCAAGAAATGAAAGTCTGCATATGTAATTTGCATAATCCCAGGTAATCGAAAAATATATTCTTATCATATTTGTGCTTTTATGCAATAATAGTATTCTGGACGATTTTATATAGTATATACTAAAACTTAAGTGTAAAATATATCTCTAAGATCTTGTAAAAATAAATGTTTAAATTAAAAATTTAATAGTTTTTAATCAGTCAACATTAGTGCCGCATTTCTGATATTTATGTCTCTTTCGCACTTCCATTCCCCTACGATAAGACTTTTCATCTAAATCTAAAGCCTTTACCATAGCCCGACTTCGCCATATTTTAACTGTATAGTCATCACTGGTTGTAACTAACATCTCAGGATCGCGTGGATTAAAAGCCACTGAATTGACTACATCACTATGGGGAAATTTTGCTAAACAGATTCCATAATGTCTATCCCATAAGTAACCATGTTTATCTTCCGCACCACTGCAAACACAAATTTTTTATGACAACTGTATTTTATATATTGAAAAATTAAATCTTGATTAAATTAATAAATTAAATACAAGCATATTAATTACCTTGCTACGTATTCATTACATACATCCAGAAATATAAAAAAACATTCGTTATTAGGCGTGTATGCTTTGTGTGCCCTTAACATCGTGCCAACTTGCTTCAGTGTTACCAAGTCGATTACATGAATATCGATTTCTTGAGCTATCGGTGGTGGTTGTAAAGGATTGGTAATAACGTAACCCTTTGGCCACGGCCTCGAATTTACATAAAGATATCTGCAAATACATGCATAATTAAATGTCTATACATCTCAAGTATACTTATTCTACACTATGCAACTGACCTATGATCGGGAGAAAGTCCCATTCCAATAATGTGACCATGGAGGTCAATTAAATGATCTATTTTATCGAATTTGTCCGCCACAGATTCATAATTTAACCAATCTTCTACTGATGGAGTATTCTGTCTCTCTCGTTCCCTCTTTTTTTGAGCTATTCTCTCGCGCAATGATGGTCCCGGATCCAATCTTCGTGGAAAAGTAACTAATTTGATCCTCTTAAAACCAACTTTATGCGGAGTATATGTTTTCGAGCCAGTTGTAAAGATAAGAAGTTTTTCGGGATTATTGGTTAACTCGTCTGTATCACATTCTTCGGTTATTGAAGATTCTGTAAACTCATTTTTTGTCATCATGTCCTACACAGTGATTAGGATAGCCGATTACAGTTATTTCCTATTGCTATGCATTACATGCGTAATTTGCCTACCTCCAGACTCGCTCTCTTCCTCCCATTGCGGATTCTCACTTTCGCTATCACTTTCGTGTGCCTTCTTCTGCATCTCAACCTGCCTATATTCCTGATTGTATTGTATAGGACTAGCATATTCGAAACCATCACCAAGTTTCCTCCAATTCGAAAATGCACCTTCTAATTTACTATATCTATCATGTATTATATATATTAACATCCAACAAGAATGTATGCAGGATGATCTGTTCTTAAATTGAAAACCTTGAATGTTTCGTTTATTTTTGATACGAAGAAACATTTCATATAAAAGTAAAACGGTTTCATAAGGAACGTATATTTCGGTCACGTTGTTCTTTATCTAAATGGAAGTGCCAAGAAGATATGAAGATTACTATTTTTTTAAATGGAATTATATAATTTTTTTTACATAATATGATTCCTCTAATTATTCTGCGTATAAAAGATAGAAATATGAAAAAATGAGATATTTTATACTTTATTTTAATACATATTAACATGAAAGATTAAATATATTAGTTTGTTTTTATATCTGTACTTTAATATTTTCCCCCTCGAAACCGTTTCATTTTCATCTAAACATTTTTTTGTATCATCAAAAATAAGTGAAGTAGTCAAGGTTTTCAATTTAAGTGGACCATAATGTGCGTAAAAAAAAGAATTTTCACATACTGTATTCTTGATGATGAAATGTAGTATATTGGTTCTTCCTGACTTTGCGAACTATTAGATTCACCTGAAGGAGACAACAAATCCTTGTGACTTGGTGGATTTCCTTTTTCTTCCTTTGTATTTGAGGAAGATGGTTGACTCTGTTGTTCTGTGGATTCAGCTGGAGCAGGTGCTAAACAATTTGCAACCATAATCGCTCTAATCGAGGAAGCATTTCCATTATAGAACCTGAAAAATTATTACAACCGCATGAAAAAAATTATAATCCATTTAAAAAAATTTGTTTATGTTTCTAACAAGAAATCAAAGATTCAAATAGATTTAAAAAATATACCGAATTGTTACTTTACCTAAAGAGTTGCGTCATAATGGGCACATGTTCGCTAGCTGATTCCTGGTTTGCCTTATTGAGCCAAACTACGCTAGTACTAACCAAATGTGCCAACCAATGTAGATTTCCACTTAAAAGGTAACGTTCACTGTACCATGTACCAAATATGTCATATGGCTTATTCACTACTCTACACTGGAGATCAAATCCAGCTATAAATAGACAAAAAATACATACACAATATAAGCATGTATTGAATAGAGATAATTTCTTTTATCAAAATCTATCGTTAGATAAGATCTTGTTGAATCCCAGTTTAAGATTTATTTTAGTCGTATAATCTTTATTTTCTTATTGATAAGATCTTAATCTCACTTACGTGCTACTCTGAATACTGCTATTTCACCCGAAGTACTATGGGGTGTACCAAAATGGACACCAGACACAAGAAGTAATGTATCTGTACAATTAAACTGAGAAAATTGTGTATATTTCCAACTAAACGTCTTCATATCATGCCAATATTTTATGGTAACAGGATATTGACTTTGCCATACCTAAAACAAAATGATGCGAATGATAAATATAAGAGAGTAATATATGAGAGAAAGTAATAATTGCAAAATGAAAGAAGAGCTTACAAGAATATATCCATCTTTTGAACAGGTTGCAAACATTTTGCCATTATGGGAAAAGCTCACGTGTAAGACCTGATGTGAATGTTCTTTAAGAACTTCAGTTTCTATCAATGGAGTGTGATATGCCAAGCGTTTGAATTCGCCCAACCAGGAGGTTTTTCCTACGAAAGAAATAATCAGTGTAAAGAATATTGATAAAATATATACATATGTATATAAAATAATAAAAAATTAATTATTATATAGATTTATATAGTATTATAAGATAAGATTTTTCTATGTACATAAAAAGATTTTCTAAAACACCATTTGAAGATTATCAAAAAATATAAAAATTGAAAATATACAAGATTGTTTTATAAGAATATTAACGACAAAAATAGCATTATAAAAAAGCAACAATCAATGAACGTTGCTACTAATCTGAATAATTAGGAATTTATGAATTACAAATTAACTCATTTAAAAAAAAGTTTACTTTGTTATACACGTATTTCTTTGACTTTAAATACTGTTTTATTATTCTATCTATTATTATTGCTATATTTATTGTCTTCATAAATGCTATGTATGGAATCATTGTCCGATTTGATCGAATCTAACAATTTTGCTCCGAGTATGAATGGATCTTCTCGGAAAATAGACGATACAAATTTATATTTTCTCCACGCAATATCCGGCGGAGAATGTTATTTTCGATCGTGTAAAAGTGCCGCGAATACTTGATGGCAAGACATACCTGGCACAATGCCGACGTCCGGATCTATCTTGTACGTACGATAAAATAAATACTTCCAGAGGAACTCGTCACGCGACACTCTAAACCACGATCGGCACACCTCGCCCGCAGTCAGCAATTCTCTCGGCGTCAGGTACTGGAAGATGCTCAGGAGAATCGAATCCGACATAACGTACCAGTTAAATTCACCGGATTCACCCTCGCTACGCGACGAATACTCGCTGCCATCATCCGACTCGCTAACGTCCTCCACATCCTCGTCGGACGGTCCGGGCCGGTCGTCTCGCGCGGTATCCTCCACGTCGTCCATCGTCGACGCGCGGTTTATTTACTGGAACAGCTGATACCTGTCAGCTACTGCACTGTCGTGAGTCAGTCGTCAGTGCCGTCGTCACGTCAAGGATATGCGAGTTCGACCGAGGTTAGAATTGGTCAGAATTCACGTAGTCCGCCACTCTCTGAGGCCGTTCACGAACGAGAACGAGTACAACTGCATCGCGTCATTCGCGTCCGCGTCGCGCAACACCTGCACGCACGGTAAAAATACGATACGAGCTGTTGCATGAGTTGCATCTCGGAAGCGGCACGTATTCGTGGCAATTCGTGCCAATTCGCGCCCATTCGTGCCCGACGTACGTTTCCGTGAACGAATAAATTTCCACGTTATCTTTCAATGAATTTCGGAACACCCTGATTAATCTGCTCTAATCCTGATCTGATATTCTAAATTCTTGATGTTCTGATATTCTAAAAGAGAACGTGTGTAATATGTTTTCCTTCGCGATTACAACACTACGAACTACGAGAGTCGGTAGCCTAGACTGTTTCTTAGAAGTTTCTTTTACCTGCTTTTACTTGCACTCTCTAAATGTATAAGTAGGCCTTGAAGATAAAGAGAGTGAGAAGCCTAAATATAAAAAATGAAAGTAGAGACTGCATGCTCCATCACTTGACGAATTGACGCTCGCAATCACTCGCAATGCTCATTTCATTCTTTGTTTATCTAATATTAAAAGGACAAACGATGCTCGCAAATATGTGAGCGTCAACAAACGAAATATACATTTCATCCTACTCACACTTTACTGCACTTGGAAACGCAATTAAACATTGAGATTGTCCTTTGTCATTCTATGTCTTGAACGCTTCGTATTTTTTCATCACTTCTCTTTTTTTCTTCAACTCTGTATTTATTTTATTTTAAGTGCAGAAAGTACGATATAGTGTAGCTAATGATCAGATCCTCGTGTTTACCTTTTTCTACGAGTTTCCTAACCTTGCCTAAAAAGTTTACTTATAATTATATTACTGTTGAATTGATTATTTATAAATAAAATTTATATTTTTACAGATTGTTTACAGTAGAAGAACTTGGTAAGAATATAGTAATTTTTTATGCACGATTTTTTATATAAAATTATAGAATATATGTATATACATGTGTTTTTTGGATTACCTAATTATTAGGCTAATTCACAATGTGTGCTTTTTATTTTCTGTTTCTTGCTGTTTGACCAAAAAGGCAAGAGACAAACAGAGACAAATAGGAAATAGCAAGAAATAGGAAATAAAGAGCACATTGTAGAATTAGAATTAATAAAAAGAAAAACAAAATTAAAATAAATGTAAATGTTTGTAAATAAAAATAAAATATTATGTGTAGGAAATGATTTTAAAAGCAAATTAACATTTTATAAAATTTCTAGAGTTGCTTTTGGTGACATAGAACGAAAACAATTTCAAAATGTTGAATCTAATTTTGAGGCATCCTATTATTTCTAAAACTTTACTAACTCAAGTACGATCTGTCCATGGAATCACACAAAAGTGTTTTATATGTGACAAGAATATATTTTCAGCGGTAATGACTGTTAGATTATTTCTAACGAGATGCATAAGGTAACAAAATATAATTATAATAAATATAATTATAATAAACTTTTGATAAAATGTATAAGAATAATATATATCTAGAAATATTTTTAAGTTTTAATCATTGATTATTAAGAGAATATTTGTATAAATATATACAGGATATTCTTGATCGTTATTTTCTTATTTCTTTTAATTAGAAATGAAAGAGAAAGATCAAAAAGTAGAATGTTATGTCATCAATATTGTTTTGACGATCATTTGATTACTTTACATTAAAAAATATTAACTTCAAATGGAAACTAAAATTAACTATAGGATTTCCTGTATATTTTACAGTTATATATACAATCTTATAAAATGATATAAATAAAAATGTAGATTATCTGCTGGAGCAGCACGACAAACAAGTTTCCTTAAATCAAACAAATTGATACAAAATTTATTAATACAACGTCGGCAAATGTCACAATTGGATGTAAACACAAATGTACGGAACAATGTAATTTTATATAAATTTGAAGGGACAACATATTTCCGAAATTTGAAAATTTTTGGAGCTGTACAATTATTTTGTTGTTCAGTATTGGGTTTTTATAGTTATACTCCATCATTTTGGGATATATTCAGGGCTGATGTAAACTTGAAAGAACATTTTCTGAATTACATGTTTCGATTTTGCATATTTCTTTTTGCAATTATGACAGGTAAGAATCATCTTTTATATTTATATATATGTAACAATATTTCATATATAGAGATTCACTTATACAAAAATTCATATTTTTATCTTATTTGCTAAACAATCTTTTACATAAAATGGAGCAAATAAATTTTATTCTTTTTGAGATTGATGTATTTATTTTTGTAGGTCCTCTTACGTGTCTTTACATTTATGCTACGTGCGCTCGTAGCATCAAATACGTTATTTTAAATAAAGGTGGTGAAACACTTTCAATTATTACTTATCATATGCAAAAGAAGAAATCCAAATTAAATTTACCAGTAGGAATGGTAAGAAACATTTACATAATAAATATAAAATTATAATATTTGATGTATAATTAATTTCATATACATAATTATTAATAATAATATATAATAATTTTAGAGCATGAATACAGAGATAAAAAATAAAATTTTTTTTTATTTGACATGTTTCTTACGTTTGAAATTTTTTTTTTTTTTTTAAGGTAAAGTGTACCGCAGACAGACGTAATGGTAGAGGAACATACCTACCACTTAAAATAAAAAATAGATCTTTTTATTACCTAGTTAATAGAAGTGGCACTTTTGTAAATTCAAAACTTTTTGATCATGCAACGGGATAATTATTTAATTTTATGGATATGTGTATTATTACGAATATGTTCTTTTGCTGTAATACATTGTACATATTTATTTAAAAAATGTCATTACCGTCATATATTTATGCTTTATGTATAAAATATAAATATATCCTTAGAATTATCTATTATTAAAAAGATGTTATAAATATATATCGATAAATTGCGAATTATCAAGTTAACGCTGAAATTTCTGTATGCTATTTTTCAAGAAAAGAAATTATTCTTTTTTCAGATGATTTATATTAGTATTATACAAATAACAAGTATAAAATACATTGACAATTTGTATTTTCTGGAAAAGGAAAAATAATGTTAGTACAATATCTATGCACAAGTACATATAAGTATATTTTATTGCACTGAGATTAGTTTTTTATTCGTCATTGGTTTTTCCAAATCTCTTACGAGTTGGTAGAATGTGTGTGAATTGGTATTTTAATTAATCGATACTATTCTTTATATTCCAATCAATATCTTTGATTTTGCCTGTCATAATACTTTCCCGAGTATTTGCTGTATCGATCGCTATAGCCATCATCCTGGTATTTGTCTTCGGCTTTATAGTAAACTTCAGGTGCTGTAGAACCAACACGACCTTGCCAATAATGAGTCCAGTATAGATCTTCTGGATTAATATCGTGTGGATGTCTGGCATTTTTGAACACATGTACGCAATACACGAGACTACCAATCAGTGTCAAAAATCCAAACACAAGAAATACTATTCCCAAGATCCTAAAAAAATGCACTTTGTATAAAATTTTATAGAATACATCACTCCAATTGTGTAATTTATACATCATGCTTTCAATTCCTTACTATTATTAGAAATACAAATCGATATACATATATATAAAACTTTTGCAATTTTGTCTTTTATAATCGAAGTAATTATAATTACTTTAATATATATTTGTATAAATTATAAATTGCGCGCGCGTGTGTGCGATGTAAAAATTAATCATACAGTACTCTTACCAAACGACTAACGGCTGGAAAAATTGTATGACGATAACGAAACCTAAAGTAACTAGAATCAAGCCAAGATTGAGAAGTAACATGAGGCAGCAGACGCCCTTAGTGTTTGGGCAGAATGGATTAGGCGTTGACATAGTTTCCACGATAATACCGCCTTTTCGTGACGTACGAGTTTTCACTGTCGAAGTGCCTGATCTACCGGAACCGTAGCTATAATGACTAGGCGCTCTGTGGTCCAATCTGGAGCTTGGTGCGAGACTACGGCGTGATACCCGACTATAACGTAAAACACACATTTTCCATTACAGGTATATTTACGGAATATTGAATGCTACGCGTTTATAAATCTGACCGACCTTATGTCGGAAGTAGCTCTATATGCAGCACTGGTGACATATATATCTGAACCATTGTCACAAATACTGCCATGCGAGGCACTTTTGCGAAGCGGATGCAAACTATGTTTGGAAGATCCGGACAGAACCGAATCGCGAGTGTTATGCGCACTTCTGGATCTTCTGTCTTCTTCTCTGTCGTACTTGTCCGTGGGAGTCTTTCTTGTAGGTTTTACCTATAAAAGAAGAATTTAAGAAAAAAATAAAAAAAAAACTATAATTTAAATATACGCGTTATATTCTTATATATATAAGAAGGCGTATGTATTCTGTACACATTGTGTACACTAATATATGTAGAATAAAATACGCTTTAAGCTAAAAGAATGTCTTTGCCATTATGAGTATAAAATGCATTACCATAGTGGTATGTTCGTTAGCAACAATATACTCAGACACGGTGCGGTCCGAAGGAGCTCTATGGCTCTCTTCACCATCCGTAATGTAATCACGATTTCCGTTAATGTGATATCCAGCATATTTCGAAGTATGCATTTTAAAGTATCAGTCGTTGACTTGTGCACAAGAAGTGTCAAAGACAAGTAACTAATTAATAAAACTTCTTTAGCTCATCTAAAACAGAAATAAATATCAGCTTATCGACAAATCGATTATCAAAGTTGTTACAGTCGTCACTTTCTTTTCCAAAAAAAGTACGAAATGATTATGCTTACTCTGCACGGATGCAACGTAGAAACGTATCCGTTTCCATTCTTACTTAAAATATATTGCATATTTTAAAAGAAAATTGTGCGTGATATGCATCATTTACATCGTCAACCTGCAACAAAAATGCTTTAAGTCGTGAAAAAGAGCAGATACTCTTAAATCTTTTTTCTTCATATATCTCCGTTTTTAGTTTTGTTTAGTAACAGCATTTGGGATGTATTTTTATCTAATTATATAATCCTTCGTAATTGAATATAAATTTAGCGTAAGGTGTGGCGTTCCTTTAAGTGCTGTCTGCGCATAAAGATTGCAAAACATCATTATGGGATTGTCTCGCGATTGTAGGCAATGATGCCCACGACGCGTTCATCGCATTGGGCAAATCCTTATTTAGTACGATGATGTCACTTGGCAAGGACATGTACGTGCAACATCTTCGATCAATACATAATGCGCATATATAACTCTTTCTCGTTGATCGTTCTCTCGCGATTCTTTCAAGGTAGTTTCTTATTATTCGTTTCACAACAAATTATCCCATCTGTCACAATTACATCTTTATTAAATATGCACGTGTGTTTAGCGCGTCGTGACATTTTTTTGACCGGCATATTTACAAATCGATTCTTATACATTTAAGACTGTCTTAAGATGTCATGAGTCCATCACAGAATCAATTAGCATCTTGAGACATTACTTAATTAATTAAGACAGTCTTAAGTACAAGAATGGACTATGAATATCTGCGGTCTTTGATTTCTGATAAAAAAAGATTCCTGCAATTAATTATATTCTAAAAACAAAATATTTCGTAAATGCAATGACGATATCAAATTTTGGGAAATCACTTCGACATAATCATATAACATAATAGCCTTGCGATATAAGATAACAAATAAATATTTAATTAAAATAGATAATGAGAAATTATCATTCTCTGAAATTAAACGGCAAACTTCCGTGGCACAGATCTAAAAATTCGATTTTTTTTAGAATTCGTTAATTAATACGAAAATCCCTCGAATTCATTAATTTTCTTTATAGGAAAGTGCGTGACAGACAGTATCGATGATTAATGCCATCGGCCCTCTAAAATACGTTCACTCTTGTCAGCCAACCGGTTATTAAACTCCTGCTTTTTCTCGCGTTGTTTTTCTCGCGTTAATCGCAATTTTTAAATGATGCACGCAGGAGACGAAGCGGCGGATTGCGATGCGCGCAGGCGCCGTAGATCCATGCGACTTGTGCGCATCATCCTCCCACGATATAAATTCCCGAAAAACAAAGAAAAGAGAGGAGGAAACGTCAATATGAAGAAATGTCGGAGCAAAGCGCGGGATCAAGATCACGAGGGATTGCAAGGACGCGCAGTGCACACGCGCTCAATCGCGTCAAATCTCTTAGTGCGCATCGAGATCGTTCGGGAGGGCCGCTCTCGAATGCTGGACCCTCGAGATGATCTTGCCCGAGTACCTCGACTTGAAAGATTACGTTCCCCCATATTGATCCTTACCCGCAGGTGATTCCTCTCCTCGTGATGACGCGCTGACCGAACGTGCAGACGTGCCTGGATCGCCGCGACATATCGATCACGCGAGTATGATATTCGCCGCGCGTTTGGTGTTTCTCTCCTTCTTTTTCTTCCTCCTCGAGATCGATCGTCCCTGCACTCGATCGAAAAGCACTCGCGACGATTCTGGTGGTGTTGGCGCGGATTCGCGAAACTCGAGACGCGACATACAATATACGTCCCGGTCCCGGAGCAACGCGATCGGCAATCTCGCCCGTCTCGCGGCGGTCGCGATCGGAATCGCTGCAAATCGCTGAAACGGTCGATGCACGTCGACGGGCGTCCCGCGACCGCGCGGCGAGCGAAAGGCACGTTTATCGTGGCGTGCGCTTTTCCACCACGGCACGCTTCCGTCTGACGCCTTTAAAAGGTGAGCTCAGGTGTGCGCGCTAACTAGTCCTCACCGCCCGCGATCGTCTCCATCCGACGCAACGCGTCCCTCCTCCTCTACGCGAAATAAATTAACGGACGTGAAATTAGGTCGCGATTGTCTCCAAGAAATATGTCTAATTGATTCCACTCCAAGATTTGTAATTAAGCAACCTTTTGCTTTTTCCTAAGGCAGAAATATGAAAAGTGTTTCACGCTTTTCACGTTCCCACTTTAGGGAAAAGTTGCATTATCGTTATCCAAAAATACATACGTCCGAATGCGTGAAATGTAAAATACAAATGATGCAAAGAACGCATTTCAGTTCGATAAATGAAAATAAAACATGGAGCTGCTTTCATTGAGTTGCACTTTTTCTTTTTGTAAAATATAAATATAAAATATAAACGTATATTTATACGCCTGATGGATTAGAGTATAATTCTATATATAAATTATTGGTAATTAAAAACGTAGAATATGCGATTACAACGGAATGTTTTCGTACAGATTAATTTTTTGTTTAGAAAAGAATAAGATTTGCGGTGATCTTCAAGATGATAATAACTCTAATATCTACAAGAATACATATTCCAAAGTATACATATTCGAAAGTAATTTTTTTACGATCAGACATAGTTATGCAATATAGTTTCAGCTCTGAAAAGGAAAACTGGTTTTGAAAGCAGCTAGTCCAGTGTTAATCCGAGTCTCGATCTCGGATATTCAGAATCTGCAAAATGAATTCCGTTAAAGTAGATTATATTGATTTCGTTGATCACGAATCGCATTGTCTTTCCCAAAAACTCGAAAGAAGGTGCAAAGGATTAATCAAATCCTTCATCAATTATCCTGTTCCGTTTATCGCGTTGATTTTTAGAGCTCGATTACGAAAAATGACTATTTTATAAATTAAAAAAAAAATCATCGCCGTTCCTATATTCAATTTTGTACTATCTTTAGATTTTTATATATAAAATATAGATCGGAACGCGGCAAAAGGACGAGAAATCTTCGTATTTTTATAACTCCTAATACGCATGCGTAAAGCGGGAATTACGCGCCAAAACCGAAGCAACTGTCCATCCGAACGTTCCA